TGAGAATATATTTTTCTGTGGTAAATATAATGAAAAGATAAAATATCCAGAGTTAAAGGTAACCACTTTTCACATTGTATCATTGTCTTAACTTCATATTCTGAATTACAGTGGTAATTAATAGACTTTAAAGTTCTATATCATAAATAAAATTCATTTATTATAAAAGACTTATTTTGAGCACAAATGGCATGGAATGAATGTTTTCTAAACTGAGTCAGACTAAATTGGATTTGAGAAAAGTCAGAGAAAATGTCCTTGTGCTTCTCAGCCAGTACTGTCTTCTTGCTCACTTCTTTCTACATCTTTTAGGGTTTGTTTCAGATATTCCATAAACGTCATCTTTGTACTTTGCTGCATTTTCCTGGGCAGAAGATTGGAGCATATTAAATATATATATTGACAGACCATATTGGATTTATGGCCCTCCTATGTAAGGTCTGGATAGATGCCAGACTTCTAGTAGTCTCAAGCCATCTGGAGCTGAATTGATAAATGTAGAAATGATAAAATAATGTTCTCTGAGGAAAAGATATTTTTTGTTAATTTTAGGCACTAAAGTCAGTGTGCTTTATTCCACTGAACAGATGATCTGCCCTGAGGCAAGATTGCTGGTATAAAATTGGTCAATAGATCAAAGAAGAGACATAATGACATAACAAAAAATGACAACAGAAAGAGAAAATAGGAAGAAAAAACCCCATTCACTAGCAGGGCTGGCTGTAGCCATTTAATATAGGCTCAGAGATTAATTAGTTTGCCTGTGGCCATCCAGTAACTCAGGTGTGCTGGGTTGGGATTATGTGCTATCTGATTCCCGAATCTTGGCTCTTTCCTCTGAACCATCAAGAGGAGGGTCCCTGTAGGGTAATATTCGGAAACAGATTTGCCAGGTACGACCATTGCATGGGACAAAATTAATCTTAGGGTAGGAGTTTAAGACTTCAGAGTAGGGGAAGGGCTTGGTACAAACCATTTTTCCAGTGCATTATTCAAAGGGTCATGTGCAAAATTTACTGGAGTAGGGAAAAATGTGTGATAGGGAGAAATCATTTTGAACATTATTAGAATATAAGAGTGGTGTAATGATTTGGAAGGCCACACACGAAAGGGATCGTGCCACCCCATAGAATCAAATACTGTTAGAGACACCGAGAAGCACCTTTGAGTTCAACCTCTTCCTTTAGGAATTGAGGAAACTGAAGCCTTGTGTGAGGTTATAGAACTAGTTAAGCCCTTTTCTAACCCCCAACTCGCCTTTTACCCACACTGTGCTTTTGCTCTTAAAATTAAAATTACAGATCTTAAATCAGTACCCTTGTTTATAATCCACCCCCATTGCTGCTTTCACAGACACCTGGACAGCACAGGGACGTAGTGTCTTCACTGTCCAGTATCCGTACCACTGATGGGTTGCCTTACTGGATTTATCACAGATTTCTCCTTGAGGCCTGTTTTTTCCTGTGGTATGCCCCCCTCCCCCCAGTCTTGCTGTATTGGATTTGGGGTATCCTAATAATGTATTTGGACTTATCTGCATTGAATATTCAAGGAGTGCCTCTTCCACAGAGTCCATTAGGGGACAGCTGTCATGTATTCCATCTCACTTAGGAGAAACCTTCCTTTAAAAGGATGTTTTCACTGACTGTCCTCTTAGCCAAGCCCTCTTATTTTATATGTCCCTGGGACAATGGTCTCAGGAACCTAGAACTTTCCCAAATTCATCATGATGGTTAAACAGAGTGCTTCACTTCTCAACCAGTCTTCTCAAGGATGAAATGGAACTGATTCCAGCTCTGTCTATCTCCAGATATTTTTATGAGGATTAGAGAGTCTTTAGAAAACCATTGTACAAAATAGAAGTATTATCATTATCAAGGCTTTTAAGTTAAGGCAAAGCAATGTTCTTTGAAATTGAATAGAAACATTATTGTATAACTTTCTATCCATTAGAGTATAAATTCCTTTATAATCTGAGGTTAATTCAATTCCTAATGTAATATTGTACATATAGGCAAGTTAAGGTTGCACACATTAGCAGGGCCTAAACTCAGAGTTACCAAAATTCATCTTAGACCTTTTACAGTACTTTGCAGAACAGAGCATTTTGTGCAAAACGTGAACTGTTTGCAGTCTGGGCAGCAGGCACCAGAGTGTTTATATCACCATGAAGTTCTTTCCGTGGAGAAATGTTATGAGTGAGAGTAGAATGAAGAACTATCTCTTGTCATCAGGGTCTCAGTTCTTTGTGGCTTTCTGTGGTATATTTCAGTAGGGTTTGTAATAACTTCTTTTGAGTCATTGTCTAAAATCAGTAGACATTCTTGTCTGTTCATATTGGAGGCTAACATGTACTTTTCTTCTGAGCTTTTTCTTGTCATTTTGGGGGTGTCATAACACTCAGGGAAAGTAAATAGGTCAACGTACTTTCTACTGCCCCCTGTTTCATATGTTAGAAGTCACTGTGGCTGGGGAGTTGCCGTGCCAGAGGAGGGGTGAGTATCCCTATCTGGGATGCACATGCAGAAATATAGACTGAGAATGAGCTTTGCTCCAGTGGGTCTGTTTCTAATTGTATATATGCCTACTCTTCCAGATACCTAGCTCTTTTTATTTTTATTTTTTTTGAAAGAGTAGCAAGAATTTATTGAGAGAAAGAAAGCTTCTGTCTGTGAGGAACAGAAGGGGGCCCAGAAAGTGGTTGCCCATCAACCTGCTTCTCAAGGTGTTTTACTGAGTAAAGCATGAGGTGTGGGTTCAAGGTGGGATAGAACTATGACCCATCAATAAGATTACAAGTATAGTTGCTTAGGTAATGTTGATCCAATGGGAAATCACAAGATGAGTATGAGGTGGGACAAAACTATGGTCAATCATAAGATTACAACCAGTATAATTCCTTGGGTAATACTGATTGAATAGGGATCAAATTGGGAAGCAAGTCACATAGCAAGTGCACGTGGGATAGACAGAGACTTTCCTGGAAGGTGTGGGTTAATGAGATTTGGTCCCCCCCCCCCATGATGATTGATACCTACTTAGAATATCAATCACTTCATCCCTAGGGGAGTATAATGTGAGTAGTTCTTTATCTTGAAGCCTGACCTGCATTGACTACACTTCCAGCTACAGTCTTCTTCATTGACCTTTTGAGGGCCCAGCCCTGTCTTGACTGCCTAGAATATTTCTACCTAACTTAGCTATCTATACTATTACCCCCCTCAGAAGAAGCACCCCTAATTGGCATGAGAGGGGAGGGTCAAAGACCAGTTTGGCTCTTTCAGCTGAAGAGGGTCATAGTTGTTGTGAACAGCAGTCAGGGATACTCTACAGAGGGTCTAGCTGAAGGCCCTTGATAGGCGCCTGGTGTTCTTGTCTTGGGTAGATGTACAGCTTTCAGTCTGGAGGAGGCAAGGCCACAGAAACAGCTATGTATCATGGGCCAAATAATAAGTTCAACAGGATAATTATGAATATAGCCAATAAAGTTTTCCACCAGGAGGAGCCTGCAATAACTTTCCATAAAGAGAATAAGGAGAAGGTCCTGGAAATTTCAGAATATGACCCAACACTCAGCTTTGTAGGAAAGATGCTTTGTGTTTGTTTTCACTTTGTCTTGCACTAAATAGCTTCATGTAATTACATTCAATATGGTTTTATGCGTGAAATGGTGCATTGATTTAGAAACATTTGAATATTCATAACAAAATAATGTTTTTTCTCTTTTTTTTAATGAACAGAAAATGCCCCAAAAACAATAGAGGACGTCGACAGAAGCAAAACCTAGGCCATTTTACTTCAGATACATCATCTAGAATGGTTTAAACCGATGACTTTTATATGTACACTGACCATGTGATGTACATTTATTATGTCTTTTTTTAAAGAATGGAAATATTTATTTCAGAGGCCTTATTTTTGGACATTTTTAGTGTAGTACTGTTGGCTCGTACTGAGAATATTCAACTACAACAGTTTTGGACTGTTTAGTAGTCTTTGTTTTATGTTTTTAAAGACAGAAATTGATTTCACAAATTTGTACCACATGGTAATTCTAAGATTTGTTCCTTACCCATGGAATGTAATATTTTTGCAAAAATGGACCCCTTCACAAATGGTTATAAGTCATACTCACTTCTTCCACAGTGACCGCAGCCAGTGACCAAGCATGAACTAAAGGTAAAGATGTTTACAGATTACTTTTCCTACAAAAATAATATCTAGAAGACACTGTGTTTAAATAGATATTTAAATGTTTTTGAGATTTAGTATCTGATTTTTTTTAGACACTGCCTACCGCATGAACTATAAAGCTGTGTGTGTTAGATGTAAAAATATTTATAAGATATATGGATTGGAATTTCATTATTTCTCTCTTTGAAAAAGTAATTCTGATAATTTGAAAAAGAACCTGGTAGTAATGATGGAACAGATCGCTGAAAATTACATCTAGATATTGTCAAAATAGGCTTTTTAACAGACAAATTGGAATAAAGCCTTCTATCAGTTACACTACTTTAATACACATTCATTTTTAAACAAAACATTTGTTTTAACATAAATAAACTGTATCTGTGTTTGTGAATACAGTGCAAAAGTTGTTAATGATTGGTGCTCTTAAAGTGAGCTTAAAAATGACCTAAGACTTCTATCTGAATTTGTCTTGTAATAATAGCTATATTAATAGACTGTTGGTGTTCAAAGGTCTGAAGTGTGAGTAGAGTGTATTGAGCTTTTAATGTGTAGTTTAGATACTCAAAAGTATGCATGTAGAATTTACAAAATATGTTCAAAATTAAATATTAATTTTAATATTTTGTTTGGAAAAGCATGTTATAATATAATGTTTTCACTATATGGCCTGTTTTGGTGTGGTTATTTTTATTCTTTAATATTGGTGTATCAGTGAATAGATGAATTTAATGTTAAATGCAGACTTCAGTTCAAAATTCCCCTTTGCTTTTACAAATGCTGCTTGAAATTATTGAAAGACAAAAAGCTTTACCCAGCAGTTGGAATTTGCCTTTTTGTTATTTGACTCCTAGCCTAAATATTAGTAACATGGCAGCTTCAGTGAACTTTTTAAAAAAGCTTTCGTCTGCTACCCACACAGTCTTATTTGAGTCCTTTAGTCAGTCAGCAAGCATGTTTGGAACAGTCCCTCATGCTTTGCAAGGGCTCATGTTGCAGAACAGTCACGTATGGGTATTTGTAGTTACAAATATTTGACCATTCTCCAGGGGTGGGGTTTCCAAACCTTTAAGCAGCTCTGTTGCCTGTTATCAAGCTGGTTTTTTTTGCTGCAAGTGCCAGAATTGATTGCAGTAGGACATCTCTTACTGAAAAATAAAATGGAGCACAATGGGTCTGCTTCAAATGCTGATAAAATCCACCAAAATCGTCTGTCGAGTGTTTCTGAAGATGAAGACCAAGATGCTGCTCTTACCATTGTAACGGTGCTGGACAAAGTGGCCACCATCGTGGACAGTGTGCAGGCAAGCCAGAAGAGAATAGAAGAGAGACATAGGGAAATGGAAAATGCCATAAAATCTGTCCAGATTGACTTGTTGAAGCTTTCGCAATCACACAGCAATACAAGCTATGTCATTAACAAGCTGTTTGAGAAAACCCGAAAAGTCAGTGCTCACATTAGAGATGTGAAGGCCCGGGTGGAGAAACAACAAGCTCACGTGACAAAAGTTGAAACCAAACAAGAGGAAATAATGAAGAAAAACAAATTCCGTGTTGTAATATTCCAGGTAAGCTTGCACTAATGTTCAGCTTGATTACTATAATTGCTTAGGTCCGTTAAATGCCAGCACCTCAAAACAAGAGGTTTCCTGTGTCACATCTTAGCCATGTATATATTAAAGTAGCAGAGTTCTGAATCAGTAGAGACCTCATGATAAAACCATTTTTGTTAACTAGTGTTCTGTCATATCAGTATTTTTAGCTTCTTGGCCATTTCATGTAATATGAACTATGGCTAATAGCTAAGGCTATTTCTTGCTTTTGAAACTAATATTGGTAAAGCTCTTTTAAAATATTAGCCTTAGTAGTAAGCATGATGTCCTCACATTGACTTTGCGGGTGTTACCACTAGAAGAGACCTAAGAAACCTCCAGTTTAAAATACCTCTTGGTTGTATAAAAGAAGAAACTAGGAGGGTTGCTTTCCTGGTATGCCTTGACTCCCTGGATTCAGTCCCCAGAATTGCAAAACAGAAGCTAGTACACTTATAAGAATGTTATTCTTATTGTAGAAAGTCTGAAAAGTCCAACCAGTATAATAGAAACTTGTAAAATATTATTTGTTTATTGGAAGTTTTACTAATTGGTCACAATAATAAGAATAGGTATTTCTTTAAAGAACAATCAGGGATTTAAAAAATATGGTTACAGTGTTACAGTAATACAAATATAGAAATTATATCAGTAGTTCCTTATTTGATTGCAGATTCTTTTTACTTAAGTGATTTAACAGAGTCATTTTTATGTGTCATTGTATATTGAGCTAATCTCCTTTAACACTGTTCATATTTTTAAAAATAGGAACATGCCGGTGGCAAATACATAATATCTGTAATACATTTTTAAAATTCTTACTAATTAGAAGAAAAAATTGAACCTTCCTCCCATCATAAAACAAAGCAAAACAAAATGTGAAGTCAAATATATGCTCAGAATTTAAAGATAGGAGAAAGGAAGTATTTTCATGTTTTGCTGAAAGAAATATTAGTGCATTTTTAAGAGTAGTTTTGTTATGTTAACCTTTAAAATTTACAAGTCTTACTCTAAAGTTTTGTGTTCTAAAAATAAGATCAGGAATATGTGCAAGGGTGTTCACTGGTGGATATACAAAGTGTTATCACAACTGTATTTTTAAAATGGATGCCTGTGTACAGAGGGGAAAAACTCTAGAGGAATAAAAATAAAATAGGAACACAGTTGGATTATGTAGGCAGATATCCGTAAATGCCTAAGGATGTGACCCATAACCCCCCCAGAGTGTTCTTCACTCATCAAGTCATTTCTCCATGGTCTTTGTTGACTGACGGTTACACTGGGATGGTAAAGTGGTATTTTAGGCCTGTTTAGATCTGAGCTTGCAGTTGTTTAGGAAAAAGAACAGCGAGAAGAGAGTAGAGTTGCTAATTTCAAAGGTGGGCCGAGTGAAGTATGCTGTTAGAAGCCCTTTACTATTTCCCTTTCCTTCCAAGTTCCTCAAGACTCTGTTTTCCAGGCTTAAAAATCTCACCATACTTTCAGAGGCCAGTTGAATGTGGTGGGGAAGCTAGATTTGGTATTGGATAATATAGTATTGGTTCTTTGATCATTTCCCAAGAGCATTAGCAATAGTGAATGTTTCTCAGCCTCCATTTACATGTGGTGGGCTGGGGATTTAGCTCAGCGGCATAAGCGCCTGCCTTGCAAGCAGGCAGTCGTGAGTTCAATCCCCGGTACCGATAAAAAAAGAAAAAGACAAAAAAAAAAAAAAAAAAAAAAAAGACATTTACATGTGGTGTGCTAGGGACATGGTGGCATCCAGCATGGCTCCTGTGGACCTTTCTGCCAGATACTGGATCAGGTGCCAGACAGGATTTACAAAAGCTACAGCAAAAACACTTGTGAAGGTTTTCTTTGTCCACTGACATAGTTTTTTTGAGGTTAAAATGTTTTTTATTCATTTCTTTACTCCTTGTAACTTACTGGTAAGTTTTTCTGTCTTGTAACCCCTGTAGTTAGAGGAGACAGATTTCTTGTAAGATTTAAAGCCATGAAGATTCTGTGAAATTAACATTGTGGAGAATAGTACAGCAATTTGTCAAAAAGCAGTTGTTATATTTTATAAGCATGGGGAGAAAAGATAAAGGCACATGACAGTGACCAGAAAACTAGAAGACAGTATTCACATGGTTATTCTTAGCACTTAAAATTAGTTGTAATTAATTACCCTAATTTATTTGTATACATACTTATGTGGAGATTTCCCTACTACAATTATCTTGAAACCATTAACCTATAGTGTATTTATATTTCCATTTTAGTTTTCCCTGAAGAAGGTTTCTCTGAGTGTGTCTTTTGGCCATAATCTTTATTGGTATTATATCTCCTATGGTTGCATGTAGCTAAACTTTTACCAAATTCTGGATACTGGCATTTAAAAATAATTAGTATTTCTTACCCAGTTATGTTTCTCTTCATCTCGATGATCCCTCTCTATCAGTCATGTGAGCCACATGTCTTACTGTGTGTTCCTGTAATTTTGGTCATTAACTACTAGCATCTGGTTACTAAAGGAGCTATTCAGCCATGCCCTAATGATAATTTCCATACTTCTATGTATCTAAAAACCCCCTGCTACATTACTTTGATATTCTCTCAAGTGCACTTTACTCTTCTCCACACTATTCATTCTGTTACAGAATGACATTTTTTACCAGGACTTTTACAAATATAATTGTATCGAGGAATCAACCCCATTCAACCCTATATTCTTCAATTATTATTGGAGTATATTATAGCTGACTCATAGGAGTTATAACAATGGATCTCTATGACAAGTCCTTGTAACTCTGCTTTGTTCTATTTTTTAGCCTGATTTTGTAGTATGTTTTTGTACTGTAGAAAAGAAGGGTATGATTTCTGAGTTAAACTATATCTTAATGTCTTCACAGGAAGCTATGAGAGATTTTCCCTACCAAGCAGTAATTACTCTTGGGCTCCTTCCTTTTCTAATTATACCTTCTCGAGCCAGACCAACCCACACTGTGCTGCTGAAAACTATTTGCTACAGCAGGTGTCAGGAAAGGAGAGGAATAATTTTACTGCCTCTTAACTGATTCATCAGAGAGTTATGAGACACCCACTTCTGTCTTTTTTAGCTCACAGACACTCCAGTCCTGTAGTCAAGAGAATTTAATTTTAAATAAGTGTCCAAAGAAATAAGGTTCCAGGGATGCCTTCTTGACTATCAGGCTGATTAAATTTTAGAATGTGTAAGTGTATTTTATACATTATTGAGTAGACTTAATCTGGATCTTAAGTAGGAACACAATTTTCTTTTAGAACTTTTAATTCATGGTTCATGATCTTGACAGTTTTGGCTGTGTGGCTTTAGAAATAATTCTCTGAATAGTAAGCTGTCTTCCTTTATACCTGTGGTCTGGCCTGCCTTCAACGCCACTGGTAACTGTGTTTTTCTCCCATCCAGCTCTCATCTTTAGCCTTTTGACACTTCGCATGATTGCTGGACCTTTTCCTCTCTTTTTGAAACTGCTTTCTGCTTAGTCTCTGGGGGTGCTGTAATTCTTGGGAGTTTCTTCCTGCTTTCCTGCTCAATAATTCTTCTTTTTTGCTTTTTTGTCTCTTCTTATCTGCTGGCCCAATATCCATAATCTCTGATATTAAAATACAAAATATTTTAAAAGTTAAAGTCCTTAGGGTAACTTGGTAAGAAATATTAGCTTTACTTGAAGTCCTTTGGTGGTAGGACCTGACCTGAAATAGCATAAGGCTATGTATAGTCTTTATCCCACCTTAGTGTAAATATTCGTATTTTTTATTGCAGATGCAGTTGTTCCCAAGAGCTCACTGAGAGCACATGTATGTAGTGCATCACATTAGTTTTACAGAATCTAGACTATTTTGAATTGTGAAACATACTTGTCTCCAAGGAATTTCGAATCTTTGGTAATCTTTCCTGGCCTTATGACTTTCAATCCCATTTCTACATTAATGACTCTGAAGTTTGAATTTCTAGCACATTCATGTGCTCACCTTGTCCCAGCCCCTCTTGGCCTGCATGCTCAGTGGGCATCTTAAAGACATGGTGAGATCCTGTCTTTCCCCACCAGTCTCTCCTTCCTGGCTCTTCCTCATCTGTTGATGGCTTCTTTTTCAGAAAATCCTGTAGGTTCTCACTTTGTCTTGCCTGTGTGGTTTGTTTGCAGCAGAGTCAACCTTACGCAGTATGTATCAGATCAGCTCAAAACCTTGAGAAGTCTTTCTGTCATACTCTGAATAAGAGCCGCTGGCCTTTTTGTTGGACACAGCCCTTTGTAGCATGACCCACGTGCACGTTCTCTCTCTTTCTGTCTCTCTGTCTCTCTCTCTCTCTCTCGCTCTTGTGCATGCACATGCACACTCCTTGGTCACACTGTTTTAGCCACACCGCCCTCTTGAGTATGTCTCTTTTTTCTTCCTACACAACCTACAGGTCTAGGCTTAGCTGTCACTTCATTAGGCCTTTCTGATCAATGCATTTCTGAACAGTACCTCCTGTCACTGAATATCCTCTTCCCTCTTTTTGTACCTTGGCATTCGTTGCCATGCAACCTTCTATGCATTTTACATTTCTTTGCCTGACTGTCTCGCCAAGAAACAAATTATCTTTTACTGTTTTTTAAAAATAAGGTTTCTCAGTTCCTGAGGTATTAGTAATGTATGGTGGTAGTTAGCTTCCTAGTTCTTAGTTGAAGGCATAAGGTTTTTATTTAATCCAGTAATAACTTATTAGAGTATACCTACTATACGTGCTGGGAGTAAATCATAATTAATCATAATATTATCTCTGCTTTGAGAAATCGAATACCACACTATGGCCCCAGGAACACATATATAAATAAGTAGAATTCCAAATCAATTCAAACTGCAATAATTGATAGTGGTGTGTACATGTTCTTTTGGGGTAATTTGGAGATAATATTAGCCACCTGGGGAAGTTGGGGCATATGAATTAATTCTTTTGTTTTTTTTTTTGGAGACAAAGTGTCACTGTGCAGTTCAGGCTGGTCTTGAGTTCACTTTGTAACCCAAGCTGGTCTTGAACTTGCAACAATCTTCCCACCTCAGCCTCCTGAATGCTGGGATTACAGGGGTGTACCACCACACGAGGTTTATGAATTAATTCTTGAAGAAAGATGCCATTCAAAGATGAAAAAGGAGGCTCGTTTAAAATGTCTTTTAGCAGCTGTATACAGGGGGATGAAAATTTGAGGAATTAAGAGTGATATGTGTTGCTGGGCTAGTGAAGAGGGAAAAAGGATCAGGTTAACTGGGCAGATTCTGAACAGACTCCAGAATTTGAATACTCTCTTACAAATACGGAGAAATCTCCAAAAAGTTTTAAAGAGATACAATCAGGGCCATGGTTCCGTAATGTTCCTCAGAAAATGATACTCTGGAGATAGAGAGACCAGTAAATAATCATTACACAAATTCAGAAACAGGTGACAAGAACCTGAATTAGGATATTGGTAGAAGAGAGAGAAGAGGAAACTTGAGTTGCTAAGCAGTTGTTATCAACAGGGCTTGGTGACCAGTTGAATGTGGGATGAGAAGAAGTACTGGGGTTGCCGATTCTGGACTGATTTGTACATGTGTAACACCTTGATGGTTATTGGTACAGAGAGAGACAGAAGAAGTGAAAGTGGAGAGGATGGTGAAAGGGCCAAGATGTTTGGACTCGGTATAATTGAGGTGCCTGTTATATCTAGAGGGAGAAGTTTGCCCATCATTTGTGTTTCCGTCTTAGGAGAAGTGGAGAGGTAAGTATTCATGAGGAAAGGGTCCAGGAGAAACAAATCCTGGGAAATGCCAGCGTTTAAGGAGCAGCCGAGGGTAAACAGCCTGTGGGGCAAGTTTGTAAGTGGCCAAAAGATCAAAGAGCTGTTCTGTATTGAAAGAAAGCACTCACACTCTGCCTTTCTTTTCTTTAGGAGGAGATTCGATGTCCAACATCCTTGTCTGTTGTCAGAGACAGAAACCTCACCGAGAATCAGGAGGAAGAAGATAAAATCTTTGATCCCCCCATAGAGCTCTCTTCGGATGAGGAATACTATGTTGAAGAAAGCAGATCTGCCAGGTTTAGAAAGTCAGGCAAAGAGCGCATTGATCACATCAAGAAGGCATTTTCTAAAGAAAACATGCAGAAGACAAGGCAGAATTTTGACAAGAAAGTGGACAGAATTAGAACAAGAATAGTGACGCCAGAGAGGAGAGAGAGATTGAGACAGTCAGGGGAGAGGCTGCGGCAGTCAGGGGAGAGGCTGCGGCTGTCAGGGGAAAGATTGAAGAAATCCATCGCTAGTGCTGCTCCCTCAAAGGAGGCTTTTAAGATGAGCAATCTTCGCAAGGCAAAGGACCGAACTGTGGCAGAAGGTCAGGAGGCAGGCGGGGAGACGGGTGTGGACGGCAGCGCCCGGAGCCCCTCTCTGGTCCCCATCCCCGAGCTCGAGCTCCATACTGATGAGCTCAGTGAAATAGAGCAGGAGCAAGCCAGGGTGGGGTATGCATCCCAGGAAGGAGGGGAGAGTGCCACCCCTGAGCCTTTAAAGGTTACCTTTAAACCCCAGGTGAGAGTAGAGGATGATGAGTCGCTTTTGTTAGACTTAAAGCAGTCCTCGTAAGGAGGAATTAAGTAAAAAAACGCTCAGTCATGGAGTTTCAGTTTGTGTGGTGTAGTCATCCACGTTTATTTATATGCTGTGCAGCAACCCTAAGTAATACAAGTGTTTAATTTCTTACATTTAAAATCTTGACTATTATATAAATATTATATACATTTTCCTTGAGAATTCTTTTAGTTTTTGTGGCATGTATGATAGTAGGCAGTAGCCTTTTCCTCTTCTGTCACCTATCCGGGGCAGTGTTTAATAGGCATGATAGCTTTATTAAGGTGAGACACTTCCTGAGTCACCGGCTTACTTTTCTCACCTGTAGAAATGGGGGAGGGTTTGCCTCTGCTGCCCTCCTCAGGACTGTTGTGAAGACCGGAGGAAATGTTGCATGGTCTGAGAAAACAAGCACATGTAGAGAAAACCATCCTTGCTGGGCTGTCAGCCGCAGAACTGAATAAGCACACCTGGAGCAGCCCTGAGCACCAGGCAGTGAGGGCCTTGGTTGGACAGAGACTAAAATCAGTCTTCTTAAATCTTTCCATAGAAACAGCAGTATAAAATAAATGTTTGCGTGATAACCTTTTCATTAAAGCCTACAACGAAACTTCAGGTTTTGGATGTGTCTTAAAATATTCCTTGGAATATCTTTTTCTAATTTTCTTTTGCTTTTAGATTTGAGGTGAACCATAGCGACTTTTGCAGCATGAGGTATAAGACAGGTTCTGTTATCAAGTGGCTTTCCTTTTTTAGTTCCTCCTGTTTTGTTTGTTTTAAACTGGGGATTGGGCGCAAGTCCTATATTGAGCTTCATACATCCTCAGGAGGTACCCTGCCCCTTTTTGTTACTTTGAGACAGGGTCTTGCTATTTAGTTAGGCTGCTGCTGAACTCACTCTGTAGCCTGAGCTGGCCCTGAACTTGCAGTAATCCACCAGCCTCAGCTTCATGAGTGCTGGAATTGCAGGCAGGCATGTACCCCCCACACCCTTCAGTCCTTTTTGAGATCAGTTGTCTCTTGCTAAATTGCCCAGGCTAGTCTTGAACTCAGGATCCTTCTACCTCAGCTTCCCGTGTAGCTGGGATTACAAGTGTGTACCATCATGCCTGGCTGTCTGGTGGCCTTTCTAATGTCTTTTCTGTGGCAGTGGGCTTGGAAGTGACCTGCGTTTCTGGTTACCAGAGTTAAGCTTTCATGGCCCAGCTGCACAATGCAGTGGTGTTCATGATAGCTGCTTTGAGGGAGCTATGCCATTCAGATGCCACTTACCTGTTAGCTTTTAGAGAGGAAGTAGGTTTATTCCAAAGAAAGGGATGGTCACCAAGTTTTATGCTTTTAGTACATTTAAATCTTTTTTTTTTAAACTGGAAGAAATGATAAAATTGTTAAATTTGATCATAATCAGCTATCTCATTTTTCAGACTTAGTTTTGGGCCATCATGTAGTAACTAAAAATAATAAATACATTCATACATACACATATTTTACCTAGTTATCCAGATTTTTGAGTTTAGGAGTTGGACCCAGTATTACTTTCTCTTCGCTCTGCCCAAATACATAAAATTGTAAATTAAAAATTAAAGTGTGTACCACATTGAATAAAATACTGAAAAAATAATTAAAAACACATCATTATCACTGTTTAGAAGGAGCTTGGGAGCCTAATCATATATTTCCTTAAGAGACACAATAAATTTGAATTTAAAAAGACATTGCAAATGTCAGTGTCCTAAGTGTAAATATTTTTACTAATGTAAACAGCAGTATGCAAATGAAGTCTGATATTGTAACTCTTACAGATGTGTTCCTAGATTAGGAAAAGTATAAACAATAGCATGTGGACTTTTTGGTTTTTTTTTGGCAAATATTACTGTTGAAAATTTTTGTTCACTGACCTATTTTATAAGCAGACTTAACATTTTATGGGACATTTCCCATATAGGTATGTTTGAATTTTTGTGAGAAAAGGAGTTGTAACCTGGTCAGTTCTTCCTTGCGGTAGATTTTGTGCAAACCCAGAAACACTAAATTGGTAGCCTGTCCCTAGAGGTTCATTGTGACCCTCTACTGCTTTTGCTGCTAAGATTTTCCATCTGTGTCACTCTATCTCGTGACATTTCTTCTCACATAGGACATTTCTAAATTCCACATTCAGAATCTTTTCTTTTTGGCTTTCTTTGCTTGGTGTAAAGATAATGGGCTGTGAAATCACACATCCCACTTAATGTAAGGGAAATCCTAGTCAGCATCCTTTATTTTAAAAGTTTCAGACAACACTGAACAGATTACTAGCTCATCTGTGTTTTTAGAAATTATACACAGCAGACTTTAGACAATTTATTCAAATCAAACTAGTAGCAGGATGTCTTCCCGCCCCTGCTGTGAGCCTCCTGGAGCAGTGCAACACCCACAGACACCAACTGCATGGCCCACTCTGAAGCCTTCCACAGAGCAGACAGAGCAGGAAAGGAAGTGCAGGTGTCTCCTGCATGTGATACCTGAGTTGCTTCCCTGTCTGAGTTAACATTGGCCCAGCCTGCTTAGAGGTTGTAGGCATGGAGTAAATAAATAACAGGAATGGCTTGAATTTCTGCTTGCTCTGTACGTGTGTATGGCTCCTCACGAGACAACTTTATAAATGAAAAATACAAATCATTTCTACTTCATTCTTTGTCATCCATGCACATTAATGGGTTTGGTTTTTTAAAAAAAAGCCAGATGTTGTGATTCTATCAGGTAAAAAGCATGGGTTGTGTTATGTGAAGCATTCCATTGTTAACTGTGCAGTTCTGTTATGAAATCACTGGATTTTTTTTTTTTTTTTTTTTACGTTCTGAAACAAGCTTTCTAAAACTCTTATTGACCCTTGCTAAGAAAATTTTACAGATTAACTCCCCAAATGAGGAAACCATCATGTTTTTGTTCTCAGCTGTACTTGAATTGGGGCATGCTGTTCTGTAGTGAATGAAAAATGTAAAAGCTTCAAGTTATTGTGACCATCTCTGAGTTACACCATATCTGAGAATTGATGGCTGCCCTTGCCAGGTCAGAACTTGTCAGTCAGTTTCATAAGTAGTGGATAGGAGGTGTAGGTTAACTACTGCTTCCCAATGAGTCTGTTGGTACAGAAAAGGTGGCAGGATATTCTTGGGCTTTGAATATACTTTGGACATCTTCAAATCAGCTGTGCTTGTCAGAAAGCCTTCCCCAGAATGTTCTGTCACATTTGCCTCTGCTTATGTTGTATGTCTGCTTGGATCATCACCTTTCCCTCTCATTCTGGAGATGACTTTTCCTGTTTTTCACTTCCTAGTCATCTCCTAGGATGAGCATCATTAATTATCCCCTTTATTCTGTATGTATTGCATATTTATATGCCAGATCTTGTCCAAGGCACTGAAAACTCAAAGATGAATAGAAAGTTCCCTTCCACCCTTCCAGCCTTTATCCCAAGCTCCCAGTATCTGGGAGAGTGAAGCAAAAACTCAGCAGTGTAAGTGGTGCTATGTAAAAGATGATGGATGTAGAGAAGAAAGCTGCTTGTGTAACACTGTGATTATACATCTGTCTTATGTGCGATACATTACAGTTTATTTATGTAAGTGTTCTAACTAGACTGTGCTTCTTAAGGGCAGGAACTGTGTTGTGCTCATATCTGAGTCACCAGTATTTGGATATTCTCCTGGTGCTGGCTTTCAGTTACTAATCTAGAGATGAGAGAAGTGGTTCCTATGATTAAGAAACTTTTCCCCTGGTGAAGATTACTTCCACTCAGACTCAGGAAAGGATGATGGGGAGAAAGAGGAAGGACATTAACAATCTGGGGAGACTTTCCATGAAAACTACACAAAGTATTTACAGTGGCATTTGCTAACCAGTCAACATGGAGTCCAAGGCAACATGTAACTTACGCTGTGTGGTATTATTTTAATATTAAAGGCCATAGAGTGTCATGGAGAGAATTTTAGCTGAGGAGTGCCATGAGTGTTTTAGAATGATTATTAAAAGACTTTAGCAAAGACAAGTTAATATGATACTTGCATTTTTCTAGGTGAGAGAGGATTACCTGAAGTAAAGCAGTAACTGAACTGTGGAGGGGGTGAACTTAGCTGTGGGTTGTGATGGAGATCCTAGAGTTGCGGCTTTGACTTGGGCAAATGCCTGTGCCCTTTTCTGACCCAGAAAATACAGATTCTTTGCTGTCTCCTGAGACATCTCTTGGAGAGGCCTGAGGAACACAAGGGAACTATGCCTGTCCTCGTGGCTGCCATGCTGGAGGTCTGTGCATTTCAGCCATGGTAACTTCCACCTCTTCTTGCAGAAAGGTCTGCTTCAAGAAGTTCTTTTCCTGCTTTTGCAAGCGCTTTGCCCTCCCTGCACTGCCAGGACTGCAGAGTCCTTGAAAAGCAGGACTGCTTTGTAGGTTGAAAGCCATTGGGAGCTTCTCTCCCATCTATCTTTGCCCAAGGCCAGAGTTCTTGCTCATTGTGTGGTCCAGAGAAAAGCTACACCTCATTCTTAGGATGGATTGTTTTTTCTCATCTCACTTATTGTTTGGCATCTGAGGAATCCAGCCAACACTGTATTTTGTTCCAGTTAACACAATAAAAGCTGCTGTAAGTTGCTCCATTGCCAAGGCCAGTTGCCTAGATACATGTGGCTACTCAAGTCAGCTGCTGAGAGCCTCCAGTTCATCATGGGCTGAGCTTGGTGATGCCTCATTGTCTGGAGCTATCATTGTCTGGAGCTAAGTGTTGGCATCAAAAATATGTTGTGGCCTCGAGATAGATTTGACGCAACTCACTCTTCAACATTTTGGCTGATGGAGACTCCATATAAGGATCGACAGCAAATGGAGACTGAGATGTTTTGTTACAGTCAAATGTCCTGTAAGTCTCAAAGATAGGGTATCTGGTAAATTACGATGATGAAGATGCTTAGGCCCAAGAGAGGAGATTAAGTCCTTATGGGTATCTGGAGACCTGCGTGCCCTGGTGTGGCAGGGTGTATGTGTGTGTGGGAAGCAAGGTTGGGAACAAGGGCATCCCTTGTGGTCAACAGTGAGGCCAGAGGCCTGCCTCACATCCTTAGCCAGCAAGGGCAGTGGAAATGGAGATCTTCATCATCTTCAACTCAAGTGGGCATTACTAAAGAGTTAGAGAGACCACAATTCCTGGGCCAGAAATTCACCACACTTGACTATGGGGTCCAGTGTAAAGACGTAACTGGATTTGTGCTTTCAGGGCCAAGTATGCAGAGTTAAACAGCCTGAGGCCTGTTTTGGACACACTGAGTTGAAGTACTAATCCTTTTTTTTTGTCTTTTTCGTTTTTATCGGTACTAGGGATCGATGTACTAATCTTTAGACAAGTTGTATATTACAAAGGAAAGGGTAAGATACTGTAAAAACTAGGTAAATGAAAAGGGGTTTCTTAAGAAAATTCAGACAATTTGAAGGAAAGAGCATATTGTTTTTTAAAGAATTGTGGCACTGAGGATCAAACCCAAGGCCTTTGTACCAACTACATTCCTAGCACTTTCTATATTTTATTTTTAATTTTGTGACATTGACCTATTCAATCAGTAAGCTGCCCAGGCTGGGCTTAGATTCA